TGGGCCGCCCGCTGTCCCGCCGGCTGACCCTCAGCAGCCCCACCTGGGCCTTCAACGCGGCCGTGGCGCTGGCGGTGCTCGTCTCCGCCGGGCTCGTGGTCTCCGGCGTCTACATCTTCCTCCTGATTCCCCACGCCGCCTCGTCGGCCGCCGCGCACCCGCAGCTCGTCGCGCTCGCCCCCGGGCCCGACTTTTCCCTCTTCCCGCCTCGGCCCGCTCCAGGCGCTCCCTGGACGTCCACCTGGGCGTCCCCTTGGACGGCTCGGCCTGAGCTGGACGCTGCTGCGCCGGAGGCCACGCAGGAGGCGCTGGGACCTGAGCCCGCGGGGCGCGCAGAAGACCCGGTGGAGGCTGCCACAGCCTTGGACTGAGATTTGGACCCAACGTGGGGCGTGGCCGCTGGACCAGGCTTGGAGCTCTGTGAGCGAGCGAGGCCGGAGGCAGGTGTGGGGAGCATGGCCCGGCAGACACTTGACCATGACAGCTGGGATCCAGCAAAGCCCCTGGCAGGTGGTCAGCCCGGGCCTGCTGGGAAGCGCCGTTCAGGTCAGTCATCACGAGCACAGGAACATCCCAGCGCCCTTTCCTGTGCCTTCTCCTACTCTGCTAGGAAATCGCATTCCCCAGGGCCCCTGCTGGGAGACTCACCAGGTCCTGTTTCCTGTGGGAAGGGTTAGAGAAGAGTCTCTGGCTCCGGTGCCTGGGGGTTTCCACTGCTGTTATCCACAGCCATGCCTTCTAACTGGTTGGCTACTGGTCACCCCTCCACGTTGCTGGGACACTTGTAACCCCACTCCTCATCTATCCCGTGTTTTCCCTTAATGGACATTGACTAACATTGTCCACCGGGGCTAGGGGCTCAGAGGCGCAGGGCTGTGTCTGCCCACTGGCACCCCGGCCCACAGCCTCCACGTAGTTGGAAGGTTGGGGCTTCTGGGATCCCCAGCAAGCTCTGAGACAGCTGTATCAGCAGGGAACAGAGAGACGAGGGCAGCTGTGAGGACAAAGGTCCCTAGGCTCTGCCCCTGCCTGACCTCAGAGCTCCTGTGACCTGTCCACTCATCTGCTGTGATGCCCTTCCTCACCACACAGGAATCTCTGGCCACTTCCCATCCTTGGACTGCAGCTCAGAGGGAGGGGGACCTTGACTGGGTGCCCTTCTTTTCCAAAGCCTTCCGTGGTCAGTGACAGGAGATGACCCTTGCCCTGTGCACACCAGAACCTGGGCCTTCTTCCCTGCCCGGCTGCAGAGCACCATTCTGCCTCTCCCACCCTGTGTCTCAGAGGTGGACACACGGCACTTTCCAGAAAGAAATGTGAATTCTCTGAGTGAATGGGACTCCTGCCTTGTTTGTTAAAACCAGTGTCCTCTCGGCATGCAGCATACAGTGGTGCCTAATGTTTGTCTGCACAATGACAGCTTCTTGCCTGGGAATGCTTCCCTGGGCACAGGCATGTCTGTGCAGCTGTCTCCTGGAAACTACTACTGCAGAAATGGGTAGGAGCCCAGGAGGAGCATGGTGTTTGAGGGAGTGTCTTCCCAGACCAGTTCTTGGCCCACATGTGGTTGCCCACGTCATCTGTGAGGGTTGGGACCAGCTGGGGTGCTGGGTAGCCACAGCCCAGCCCCATCAGGAGGAGGGCCCGTTTGGTGCCCCAAGTATGGGTTCCTGTGGTTGGCTGCTGTAGCCAACTTAACACACACACACACACACACACACAGAGCCAAAATCCAAACACAACAGTGAGGTTGCTGCAGCTCATGGAACCCTCTTCCTGGTTTCTGACACTGAAGGTCTTTCTGGAAGCTGGCTACCCACAGCCCCCAGAGGGAACCAAACTGCCAAGCTTCAGGCTTCCAGCTGAGCTCCTAACGCACTGCCTACCCAGACAGCAGTCTCCCTCCTTCCAAGTCATGGAGACCCTCTGTTTGCCAGAGAACAACTATATCCATTGGGGTTCTATGTTAACCTTTTTTTGTGTGGTTTGAATGCAAATTAATTTTTCATTTACCGCCACCACCACCAAAAAGGTCAGTTGGTTGGTCTTTTTCTTCCTGGAAAGAATACAGCCTCGGAAGTCCCAAGGAAAGCTAACTGCTGTGAGTCTGCCCCTCTTGAGGGCAGTGGGACATGGGCATCAGGTTTAAGAGGCTGTTAACTATTAGATGTGGATCACCAGGCGTGTCTTTTGAGGCATCCTGGGTGGATTTGAACTGCCAACCTTTCTGTCAGTGTCTGAAATGTGCCCCTAAGACAGTGCCAACCTACAACACTACTGCCATTGAGTTGACACTGAGCCATGACAGCTTTCCATTGTGTTTCCAAGGCTGTAAACCTTTATGATGGAAGGTGGCCTATCCCCCACTGATTCGAACCACTGACCTTTTCAGTTATACATTATACACCCACATTAGGTGGCTTTCAACAATGTAGCTTCATTCTCTCCCCATTCTGGAGGTAGGAGTCTGATAAAAGGCTATTGAACTCCCCCGGTGGTACTGTGCCCAAAGTGCTCACCACTGAAAAGAGTCAACAGTTGGAGCACAGCAGCCAGTCCATGGGAGGAAGAGGCCGTCAGCTCAGCAACGGTTTACCAGCTTGGAAACCCCACATCGTTGTTAGGTGCCTTGTGGCAACACTCTGAACTACAGATCTGAACTCTGTCCTGTCTCTAACCATGCTCACAATCTCTGACACATTTGAGCCTGTTACTGCAGTCACTGTCAATCTATCTTACCGAGCGTCTTCCTCTCTTTTGCTGACCTTCTCCCTTTGTAAGTATGATGTCCCTCTCCAAGTAAAAGCCTCTCCTGGCAACATCCCCAAAGTAAATGGGACAAAGCTTCACCATCCATGTAGCTAAGGAGAACACTGGCTGCACTTTTTCCAAGACATATTTGTTTGTTCTTTTGGCAGTCCGTGGGATGTTTAATACTCTGCTCCAACACCACAATTCAAAGGCATCAGTTCTTCTCTGTCATCCCTATTCATTATCCTGCTGTCAGATGTGTTGTAGGTGATGGAAAGGACCATGGCCTGAATCAGGTGCACTATAGTCTTCAAACATGGTTCCTCAATAATTTACAGAGGTTCCTCACTGCAGACTTTCACAGTGTAGTATGTCTCCTGATCTCCTGACTGCTGGGACCAAGTGTGTCGGTTGTGGATCAAAGTAAGATAAAGTCATTGACATCAAGATTTCAATCTTTTATCCATCTATCATGATGTTGCCTATTGGTCCATTGGTGAGAATTTTTGTTTTCTTGGCTGTAGACTTTGATCCTGTGAAGCAAGCATTTCAGGTCCTCCTTACTTTCAGCAAACAAGATTGTGTCTCAGCAAGGTTGTGTCCTGTGCATAACACAGGTTATCAATGAGTCTTCCTCCAAACCTGATGCTACATTCATAGAATCATACATTCTTTTTCCTAGAGTCCAGCTTCTCCAATAATTTGCTCAGTATATGACTGAGTTCTTATGGAGAAAGGATACAACTCTGACATACACCTTTCTGCTTTTCATACCGTGTATTGTTCCCTTATTCTGTTCAGACATCAGCCCATCAGCCTCCTAGGTTTTATTTCCTGTGAGTACAATTAAGCATTCTGGGGTTCTCATTCTTCTCAGTGTTAGTCATTATTTGTTACTATCCACACTATCAAATGCCTTTGTATTGTCAATAAAACACAAATAGATGTTATTCTGTTATTCTCTGCTTTCAGCCAGGATCCATCTGACATCAGCAATGATATATCCCTGGTGCCATGGCCTTTTCTAAAACCAGCTTCAACTTCTGGAGGTTCTCTGTCTATGTACTGTTCTAGCTGTCCTTGGATGATCTTCAGAAATATTTTGCTTGCATGTGATATTAAAATATATCCACAAAAAAAACCCCAACAAGTAAAATGTACCAAACCTGAAACCAAAGAGGATGAAATTAAAGTTTTTTTACCATATTTTGCAGTCCACAATGGACCAAACTTGTAGTCAAGATGCATTCATTATAACAGGTGACTGGAATGCAAAAGTTGTAAATAATGAAGTAAGGATTTCCATAGTTGGAAAGTATGGACTTTGTGACAAAAATGTGGCTAGAAATCTAATGATCAAATTTTGTACAATGATTTATTCATCACAAAATCCTATTTTAAAAGAACACAAAATGTTACTTTACGTATAGACCTTACCTGATGGACTGCAATCAAACTGACTACCTATGTGGAAGAGTATCAACAGTCTAAACGAGGCCTGGTGCTGACTATGTGCCATCCATCAAGAGTGCAAGTCATTACCAAGACAGGGGAGAGGAAAAAACCGACATGGATGTCAGAAGAGACTGAAAATTGCACTAGCACATTGAGAAGCGATACTAAAATGCAAGAGCTGAACAGAAGATTTCAGAGGGCAGCTTGAAGAGACAAAGCAAAGCATGACAACAGAATGTGCAGAGAGCTGGAATTGGAGAATACAAAGGAAAGAACTTGCTCAGCATTTCTTGAGTCAAAATAACTAAAATATTCAAGCCTTAAGGTGCAAGACTGAAAGACTCTAGGGACAAAATGATCTGAGAAACATCAAAAGCAGAAGACGGGAATATACAGAGTCACTGGAACAAAAAGACTATACTAACAGTGACAGATTTCAGGAAGTACTGTGTGTTCAAGAGCCAATAGTAATGAAGAAGTTTAAGCTGCACCGAAGACACTGACAAGAAAGAAGGCCAGCAATCGACGGAATAATTGACATGTGTCCACTGACAGCTGTTGCCCTGGACTAGTCCATGCCAGGACATCTGGAGGCCAGCTACTGCACTGACAAGAGATCAGTATTTGTTTCCATTCACAAGAAAGGTGATCCTATCCCAGAGATACGCAGTTCGAATCCACCAGATGCTCGACTGGAGAAGGAGGGGCTATCTCCTCCTGTACCTGTCAGATCAATTTGACGGCACACAAAATAAAATAAAGTAAAATAAAAAAAGAAAGGTGATCCAACAGAATGTGAAAATTACGGAGCAATATCATTAATACCACACAAGTGCAAAATGCAAGCCCTGTAGGGGGAGCTGTTTCACAGCATCACCGTGAATTAGGAGCTGGGTTGACACAGTGATCATCCTGAGAGTGGTGTAGACAGGTTAAAGTTCTGCTCTGTGGTTCATGGGGTCGGCTTGATGACACTTAACAACGTGAGTCAGAATCGACTTGACTGCTGTGGATCCTGTGGTTTGGACCATGTAGATCTTGAGACCTTTCTTCTGAGGCTCCCCAAGTGTTTGGCTGGATTCCCAGGGCTTAACCATTTTGCCCCAAGGACTACTCTCATGTTGGAGCGGCTTACCCACTGCCCCCTGCCCTAGGGTCAGGTATGTCCCCTGGGGATCCTGGAAGACAGAGCTGAACTAGCTGATAGTTTTGTGGCTGTAACTCTTCACAGAAGCAGATGCCACCTCTTCTCAGGGAGGGCAGCTGTATTCGGAACCGTTCAGTTTGCAGCCGAATGTTTTAACTAAGACCTCTTAGAGTGTGTTTAAAAGAGCACCAAT